GCTTTACCTGAAGCATAAGATTTTCAGAAATGTTAGAATACTTCACAAATTTATTGTTAGTTAATGTATATTAGATTGCATTTATTTATATTTTTTTTTATGACAAAAATCATATATTAAAATTAAGTTCCAAAGATACTTGCTCCAAAGGCCAGCCACTCCTGGAAAAGTTGTGTTTACAGGGGAAAATATTAAACCACGGGCTTGAGCTTTTTTTGCAAGACGGTCAGCCCGGACATTACGAGAACGTGGAATGAATATAATAGAAAGATTATGAAAGTTGGGGTGCAAGAACTCCAATTCTTCTAGTTCTGTTGATAGAGCCGGCCATTCCTCCTCCTCTTCAATGAGTTTAACTAGCTGTTGACAATCTGTCTCAAACACCAGTCCAGTTATCTGCATGGGAGACAGAATTCGCATTGTCCACAAAAGAGCTTCAAATTCAGCATGTAAGGGTGACAAAGTCTGTTCCACCACCATAAGACCATATATCCGACTGCCCTCTTCCAGCTCAATGATTAAACCCCCACCTGTTGTAGGCGCTCCCTTAACCCAGGAGGCGTCCACTTGGCAACGCGGGTACATGAGGCTAAAAACCGCTGGGCTTGACGCAGTTCTATGATCTTGCTGTTCCCGCTCTTGGGTGATGTATAGGGGTTCTCTCGTTTCCGAGACGACTTGTGCCACTTTCCATGCTTCCGCTTATTGTAGAGCTATCTCCAAGGTCTCTGCTGGTGAGTTGTTGAAAACTTTTTCATTCCTGGCCTTCCACATATACTATAGGATCCAGGAAAAGGCTTCCAAAAACTTTGCAATCTCTCCTTGTGCCGGAACCCGGAATAGGAGATAAGCTAAGTTTTGGGATAATCCTGAACACGGGAAGATACCCGGAGGGGATGGAATCACACTTAACGCCCATGTTTGTAACGCTGGGAGGCATTCAAAGAGTACATGATTAATTGACTCTGTCTCTGCTCCACAGCATTGACAACGGCTGTCTGTCCCGCAATATCGATACATTAGTTGGCTATTGGTTGTCATACATCCAGAGAGGGCTTGCCACAGAAAATGTTTGATCTTACGAGTGGATTTTAGAGCCCAGACTTTACTCTTGAGAGCGGTAAAGCTTAGCTCAGAGACCGGTTGTGGTCCCACCTCATCTCTCATTTGCACTGCCAACTCATAACCAGTCCTTACAGAGTACATACCAGACTTTGAGTATGCCCATACCAATCTATCCGGTTTGTATGCCCTACTTGGTCTAATGCTCCTGATACGCGGAATATCTTCCGGATCGATTAACTCATTCAGGATCTCTGTGCACCATCCAGAGGTGGCTGGGTCTATCAATTGATGCTCACAAAGATCTGGGTCTCTCCCTCTGCCTGAGTCTAAAGCAGGTTTGGGTGGGCAGACGGGGATCCAGTTATCGTACCAAACTCTTGTGCTGATTCCTGAATTTATTGCTTTCCTTAAGCCTTTTTGGAGAAGTCCTCTTGCAGACATGATACTTCTCCAGCCATACGATGGATTGTTTGCCTTGTCGACCTCTATAGGGCTCGAATATCTAAAATATCTCGCTCGTAAGACTCTCGCTAATAGAGATGACAGATAATGAATTAGTCTCCAGAGTTATTTAGCTAGTAGTGCCAGATTGAAGCATTTTAAGTCTGTGAACCCCATACCTCCATTATCTTGGCTTACACATATTTTTTCCAAGGCAACCCAGTGCATCCCTTTACTGTTCTGCTTTGTACTCCACCAGAATCGGGCTATAGCTTTATTAAGCTTCTTTAGCAGATTTTGTGGGAGAAGGAAGCAAGACATGACATAAGTAGGTAGGGCCTGCGTTACCGACTTAATCAGAACTTCCTTACCCCCTTTTGATAGTAATTTGGCTGACCATGCATTTCTTCGGGTACTCAGTCTGTCTTGGATAAAGGCGAAGACTTGCTTTTTGAATCCACATAACTTTTCAGGGATCCCCAGGTACATACCCATACCGCCTTCTTTTGTGATACCTAGCGCCTGTTTTACCACCTCCTTTTTCTCTGTTGGAACCTTACTCCCAAACTGGATGGATGATTTTCACAGTTAAGTTGTTGCCCTGATGCTCTCCTGTAGCAGTTTATGATCTTCATCAGTTCTTCACATTCTTTCTTTTCAGCTTTACAGAAGAACAGGCTCTTGCCTGCAAATAGAAGATGAGATATGGTTGGGCAAGTCTGGGCTACTTTAATCCCTGTGATCCTTCCTTCTGCTTCTGCTCCTTTAATTTGAGCTATTAGAGCCTCTGTTAGGATAATGAACAGCAAGGGGGATAGTGGGTCTCCCTGTCGTAGGCCTCTCGAGGGTCTGATATTACCATTTGCTTCTCCATTGAGGAGGAATTTGGATGACACTGATGAGATGCACCATTTGATCCACTCGACCCATTTCTCTGCAAATCCCATTTTTTGCATCAGCGCCGCAAGAAAGCCCCACTCCACACGGTCATAAGCTTTACTCATGTATGTCTGGATGGCTACATATTTGGATTTGCAGATCGGGTTCGTTCTCAGAGCATGAAAAACTTCCTGAGCCACCAGGATGTTATCCGTAATTAGGCGACGAGCTACAAAAGCTGATTGGGTCTCCGAGATAAGCTTCGGGAGGAATCTTTTTAGCCTTTTGCTTAGGATTTTTGAGATAATCTTGTAACTGACATTACAGAGGCTTATGGGCCTGAACTCTGCCATCTCTGTTGGTCTTGCTGTCTTCGGGATCAAGCAAATATTTGTCTTGTTTAACCTCGCATTAAAGCTGTCTAAGGCAAATAAATCTCTGACAACTCTGATGATATCTCTTGAGATCACCTCCCAAAACTTATGATAGAAGAGGCCGGTCATCCCATCTGGGCCCGAGGCTTTCTCTGGGTTTATTTCAAAGATGGCTTTCTTGATTTCTTCGTCCGAAGGGTAACTTGTGAGCGCAGCTTTTATAGCTGAAGTAACTTGTGCGGTAACGTACCGGAGGGCATCTTCGAAATGTTGGGGTTGAGAGGTCGTAAACAGGTTCTGGAAATAGTCTGCGGCCACTTTTTTCAGTCCCTGTTTATTCTCCACCCATGTTCCGGAGGAATTTTCGAGTTTGATGATCCTGTTTCTAGCTCTTCGTTGCTTAGTCGTAGCATGGAAGAATTTTGTATTCCTGTCCCCTTCTTTTAGCCAGAGGGCCCAACTTTTCTGCTTCCAATATAGCTCTTCTTCGCGGAAAGCTTCACATAAATTCCATTTCAAAGCAAGATTTTTCATCATTTTAAAGGAATCTAAAGATGACCTAAACAATTGTTCATCAGATAACCATTTTACTTACTTTATTATTTAGATCCACGCTTCCCTGAAATCGATTATAGCTGATGTTCACGGGCGGTATCTAAATTATTCTTCTCGGGTGATGAATATATAATCTTTTGATAAAGCTATCAATATTGAATTTATTGAAGAATCATTGTTAACTGAAACTTATGATTACATCAATTGCATGTTTTGGAAAGTGAATCTGAATTTGCCCGGATTTCGACAAACTCTTTCATTGTTGGAACAAAATTTGTTGGGCGCAGGTAAAAGATAACAAAAAAAAAACATTGAGTCTTCAGTCCATCAGACTCAATTTTATAACTCAACAACTTTACATATTTCATTTATTGGGCCATAAATACAGTTATACTGCTAAAGAAATAAGTCGACAAAAACGACTCCCCCCTAATATATGCTTAATTATGTTTTAAATTGGAAAAAATCAACGACGAAATATTTTCAGAAAATTACTCCTGCGCATGGCGCAGATCCAACACCTAGTATCAATATTATTAATGATGCAACTTTTTTCATCACTTATATTTGATATTAATATATACCATTTTCAAGAAGTGATATTAATATTTAAATCACTTAAAATAAATGATATTAATATTTACTTCACTTAAAAGAATGATATTAATATATACTATCAATTATAATGAATGATATTATATATTAAAATTCAGATATATTATAATTCGTTTTAATTTAAATTTTTTGTTAATTTTTATAATATTATAAATTTTAAGATACTTAATAATTTTGTATTTATTATTCTGAGAAATATATATGAAGATATACATATGATTTAACATATAAAAAAACTAGTGTTGATGAATTTCTTTTATAGAGGAGGAAACTAGTGCTCTTCATCATTCTTAGCAATGTATGACAAATAGTTGTTTAATGAAAAATTTTATTTGCATCACTTTTATAACTGAAAAAAATATTGTCATCATTTATTATTGATGATAATACCAATAGATCAAATACTTCACTTATATATTTGATGTAAACTTATATATTTGTGTTAGTTTTTTAAAAGTTATATAAATTAATAATGATTTTTATCAGTTTTTTTAATCATGTTAATTAAGTGAGTATTAGTATCAATAATTTTTAATTAATACTAGTCAAGTTAAGATTAGTATCAATTAAAAAACTGATGTAAAATTTTATATCTAGTATCAATTTTTAATTAGTGATTCTAAATAAAATCAGTTATTTTAATGACACTTTATAAGTGATTTAATATACATTTTTTCTTGTAGTGACATAATTAATCATATACAAATAAAACATATTTAATATATAATATTAATTACATATTTAATATATAAAATATTTTATATCCTGCATACAGTGCAGGCGATCACCTAGTAATAGTTAGGATCATAATAAATATATTGATATGCTGTCTACTAAAATTTCAGTTTATTTTGATAAACAAGCATAATAGACACATTATATAGTTTTCAAGGTTTCCTTAATTTTATCATAGAGAAACTCTACCAATCTCGAGTACTTTGACAACGACAAAATTCTAAACAGATGCGATTTAAACTACATAAAGCATTTACACACTGAGAAAGTAATGATTCATGTCTTCTCTTTCGGCGAAAAGATATTCAAAATAAACAATAATATATACCAAAATGGCCAGTCCGTTTATTTAGAAGGCTAGAGAGCCCCAAAAGAACACACCCCATAAATCATAATCATATTCTTCTCCCCAAAAGAATACAACGGCTTCAAGAACAATGGAAATATCTATAATCATGATCTTCACCGTGGTCGCACTAATGTCCGGCGAGAGAGCAATCGCAGTGGATTGCTCCTCATTGATACTTAACATGGCAGATTGTTTGTCTTTCGTGACAAGTGGTAGTACAGTGAAGATACCTGAAGGGACATGTTGCTCAGGGCTCAAGACTGTGATTAGGTCAGGACCAGGATGTCTTTGTGAGGCTTTTAAGAATAGTGCCTCTCTTGGTGTTACTCTTGATCTTACCAAAGCTGCTTCTCTTCCTTCTGTCTGTAAAGTTGCGGCTCCTCCATCTGCTCGTTGTGGCCGTATGTTTCCTTCTTGTAGAAATTTTATACTAAATTATTATATAAATATATTTATAATTTCGTAAAATTATTTGTTAAATGTTGTGTTTGCAGTTTCTGTCTCTGCATCTCCTCCTGCTAGTGCTCCTGGTATTTTCTCTTTTACTTTGGTCTGCTGATTGGATATAATTCGGTTCCGTTTTTTTTTTTACTTTAAATAGTAGATCTGCTCTGAAACAGAGTTCTTTGTAGCTTGGTACGAGAATTTGATTCGAATTGGTATTTGGTTCGTATACAAATAAGAAAGTTATTATAATCTTCAATCAATAATATTTTCAATTCGGATTCTGGTTCGGATTTTCTTATTTTAATTTATAAATAATAATAATAGGTCTCATAATAATATTCAAATTAATAAAATACTGTAGTTTCGGTCTATATTCTTGATTTAGTAATTATTTCAACTCAGTGTAGTCAGATAATTAGGCACCCCTAATTTAAAAGCCAGCGATACAATGTACTGAAAAATATGTTTTAATTATCATGTAAACATACAAATGAATTTAATTTCTAAATTTTGAGTAAATATATGTATAGATATTTTTTTGACTGAAGAAAAAAAAAACACCTATATATATTTCATGTATTTTTTTTCTTCAATTTTAATATATATATATATGTATGTATGTATTTTTATGATTATTGAAAATTCAAGAATTTTTCTTTTATCTATGTCTTAAATAATTTTTGTATTTTTTGGTCAGATTCAATATATAAATGTTTCTTTAAAGATTATTCAAGATTCTGTCTTTTTAACTAATAGTATATAAAATATTTAATGAATTAGCATTTCTTTTGGGTATGCACCTGAATAGATTTATCTCCCACGGCCGGAGGAGTAGGTGCGCCGTCATCGTCCGGTGAAGCAAATGGGGCAAATCCAGTTCCAGCCCCCGCAAGGAGTTCCGATGCGTCCTTTGTCTCTGTCTCTTTTGCATCTACTCTCTTTATCACCCTCATATCCTCATATTTCTATTGATGTTTATTATTTAGGTCCCTTTTATTGCTTTGAGATCTTTTTGTTCTGAAGAGTTTGATGTTACCAATTACATTTTGCTCCCTCTGTTGATTTTCTTATCAATGAGAATTCTCTATCTAGCCTTTTCATGTTCATGTTTACATTATTTTAACAAACTCGATTTCTGGTCTTAGTTAAACTTAATCCAGAATTACTCATTTGTAAAGAGAGTTGCATAAAGTAAAGAATATATCAATTTTTAAGACAGGTAAGGACCTATAGTTCTCAATTGATATAATTAACAGTCATTTGAATGGCTATTGAGCAATTCTGAAGAAACTAGGCTCAAAAAGCACGTTAGGATGATATCGATCAGTACGGAAGACAAGAGTAGGAGAAAATAATTTTTTAGTATTAACAACTGAAAAGAAGGCGTTTTCCAAGAGTAATAAAAGAGAATACTGGTAAGAATGATAAGTAAATAGAAGTGTGTAGTAAGAATTGTTGTGTAGTAAGAATTGTTGTGTAGTACGAATTGTTGGGTTATGATTCAGTCTTTTGCCTGACCAATAGCTCAAATGCCACTATTTCAGAAAAAACTAATCTCATTGCCATTGTTCTATTTACCATTTAGTTTTGATTTTTTTTTTTTAAATCAAAACGCAGAAAATATCCTCCAAACCCTTACTAAATTAGAAAAATTACATAACCCAACAACTCAAACTTGCTAACTCAACTAGAGTTTATCTATTTTTCTTTTCTTTCAATTATCAGCTTATCTTCTTCATCGGGTTCTTCATCTAAGACTTTTTTTTTAAATTCTATTGATTCAATTGAAGGAGAAAGAGACAATGAATTTCAATTTTATTAATACGAACTCGTCATGGATCTCAAATCCCTCCTCGACATAGATGGCAGCCTCTCCTCGATGGCTTCATTGTTTCTCCGTTGCTTCTCCGCCGCCATGGATGCGCGCTTCTGCTTCGATGTCCCTTCCCTTTCCTTAATCTTCAGTTTCTCAGCATAACAGCCTCGACCTCTACTTGCTTTCTCTCACTAAAGTTTTCCATTTTCCTCGTCGTCTCTATTGAATTGCATTTTCTGTACTCGTTTGAAGTTTAGTCATGTCATGTCTGTAGATTCATGTGAGTTTCTTGGCACATCTCTTATACTGGAAGCTATCCTGTTGTGTCGAGTTTCTTTATTGTATTCTCCGCTTATTTTTTTAGGTTTAGTTCAGCAATGGCTGTTGTAGCAATTTCAGGGCTCTAAATTCTGCAACTTAACTGATTTTTACGATTCTCCCTAGTTTAGGTTTCAATGAATGATGATATATGGATTTGTTAGAGATTGATATTCTTTATGCAGTCTTGCATTGATATATTTAAGTTGAAACTGGAAGAACTCATTAATCAGTTGAGGGAAGTTGGTGAAGACATGAATGCATGGCTAACTGACCATTTAAATAATCGATTTTCCTTTATGTCTTCACCAGATGATCTATTAAATTTCTTTATTGACATACAAGGTTAGCTGCTCGCTTGCTTAAGGTCTTTTTTCCTTGTTTTCATCATGTTTGGGTCTTATTAGCCATCGTCTCCTTTTTTTGTAGGAATACTTGGGAGCCTTGATTCAGGATTTATGCAAGATGATCAGATTATTTTGGATCCGAACAACAACTTGGGAGTTTTTGTTCGCCGTTGCATTTTGGCATTTAACTTTTTACTGTTCGAGGTATTGTGCTTATTACGTTTTTGTTTTTCTTGTTTTATCTAGCTTAAGATCCTATAGTAAGTGTTTGGTTTTTATTTAGAGTTTTGCATGATATTTTAGAGGGTACAGTTTTCCTTCTGTTTGCAGCATGATCCTGCTTGTCGTGTGATTTCTAGCCAACATATCCAAAAGTAAAAAAAATCAGTCAGTTTCATTGGGTGGAACAAGCAGAATCCAAGTTACATGGCCACCATTATCATGGACAGTGCTAAAGTCGTAGTGTTCAACATTTATTTTGCTAGTCTTTCAATGGTGGAGCTTCAGCAACAGCAAGTTATGGAATTTTTTTTCTGGATTTTTGTGAGAACTATGAAAAAAATAATGTTTGTGAGGTACAACTGAAATAAATAGTTCGACAGAGTTCGATTGAATGAGTTTTACGGTTCAACCGAGTTTTATTAAGTTCAGCTGAATTTTATTAAGTACAACAGATAACACAAGTAACAAGGTACAACTGAAATACATGGTTTGATTGAGTGAGGTTTACGGTTAAACTGGTTTTATTAAGTTCAACTAGATTTTATTAAGTACAATGAATGATACAAGTAACAAGGTACAACTGAAATACATTGTTCCACTTAGTGAGTTTTATGGTTCAACTGAGTTTTATTATGTTCAACTGGATTTTATTAAGTATAATGGATGACACAAGTAATGAGGTACAACTAAAATACATGGTTCGACTGAGTGAGTTTTATGGTTCAAATGGGTTATATTAAGTTCAACTGGATTTTATTAGGTACAACGAATGACACAAGTAACGAGGTATAATTGAAATACATGGTTCAAATTAGTGAATTTTACGGTTTAACTAGGATTTATTAAGTTCAACTGGATTTTAGTAAGTACAATGAATGACACAAGTAACGAGGTACATCTAAAACACATGGTTCGACTGAGTTTGACTGGGTTAGTTTTACGGTTCAACTGGGTTTTATTAAGTTCAACTGGATTTTATTAAGTACAACGAATGACACAAGTAACGAAGTACAACTGAAATACATGGTTCGACTGGGTGAGTTTTACGGTTCAACTGGGTTTTATTAAGTTCAACTGAATTTTATTAAATACAACAAATGACACAAGTATCGAGGTACAACTGAAATACATGGTTCGACTGAGTAAGTTTTTAGTTGTACTAAATATTTTCAAATAATTTTAAATATTTTTAAAAAATCTGCCGCGAAAAAGTGAATATGTGTTTTTAGCATAGTTGTACCAAATTAATAGTTGAAAAAAATATTAACATAGTTGTATCCAAGTTAATAGTTGAACAAAAATCTTAATAGTTGTACTTTTACGATTTTATGTTATTTCTAGCTGAACCATTGTATAAATTATTATAGTATAGTTGTACAAATCTTAATAGTTGAACAAAAATCTTAATAGTTGTACTTTTACGATTTTATGTTATTTCTAGCTGAACCATTGTATAAATTATTATAGTATAGTTGTACAAATGATCTTAGTCTTTTAATTATCATTTACAACGTTTTCGTAGAAACATGTATATATAATCTAATAATTTGCTTTTTTTTTGCATCATAAGAGGGTAACATACATAAATCTTCCTTATATTGTAAGAGGTACTTGATGTGAAAACAAAAAAATATATTTTAAAACTGATAAATCAATGTTATCTATTTTATTAATTGTTTCTTTATAGTTTAATATGTGTTTAGACTTTTTAGTTGGTTTACCTTTTTTTTATTTTTCATAATTGTTTAACTGATTTTTTTTTAATATAAATTCAAGCATAGTTGAACCACATGAACATAGTTGTACCAATGAAACTGACAAATACAAACTCATAATTATTACTTAATTTAGATGTTATGTATTTATTACATATTGTATGAAATAGTTATTGAGCCAATAATTTTTTGTATTTTTGTATGAAATAGATATTAGATACAACTATTATGAACGACAGATTTTTAACAATGAATTAAAATAAATTGCAAGAAAAAAACATGTGTTAAAAAGCGGCGGCAGAAACATTAAATAATTACTAAATTTTCAGGAAATATACACTTAAATATCCCCAACCTAAGAGTTGAACAAAATTTATAATAGTTGTATTGTTACGATTTTACGATATTTCTAGTTGAACCTTTCTATACAATAATGTGATGTAGTTGTATAACCAATTTTGAGTCTTAAAACTCCATTTACAATATTTTCATAGTATAATTTATGAATAATCTAATATTTTACTTATTTTGAGTCCAATATGGTTAACATTACCTATACATTTCTTATATTGTAAAGAGTGGTTGATGTGAGAACATCATTTTGCTTATAATTTTCATAATTGTTTGTTTTAATTTTAAATTTTATAATTGTTAATTATTTTTTTATAGTATTCTATAATTGTTAGTCGTTCCATACTTGTTAATTTTTTCATTATTGTTGAACAAAAGTATAAATAGTTGTATTTTAGCGATTTTAAGATGTTTGTAGTTGAACTTTTCCTTAAATTATTGTGGTGTTGTTTTACACTTTATTATGGATAATTAATTAGAATATACAATATTTTCGTAATACAGTATATACTAAATTGATGCGACTTACAAATATGCAACTATATATACAATACAAAAGCAGAAATGTTCATAGGTGTATCCAGTTGAACCTGACAGTGCAACTTTAACCAAGTAAACCCAAAATTGTTCATACTTCTACCTAATTTAACTTGGTATTAATAACTTGATAAATGAAAACACAGAATTGTGCATGCTTGCATCAAATAATTATACACTATTATTACAGATATTTGTGCTTGACAGACCAAACTCAATCAATTCCTTAGTTTCTATAAGGATCTTCCCCAAAGTGCGTCAATTTAAGCTACCATTACGCCTCTACAAACCTTTAGATCACCATCTCTGCCGTTGCTGCAACTGCTGCAGCCGACATTGATGATGTCGCTGATATACTCATATATTTAGCATATTTAAAATGCATTTAATGTAGTCTTCATGCATTCATCTTGCATAATAGGCTAGTTTGCACCATTTTAGGTCCTAGAGCACTTTTGCATTAGCATTTGTATGTTTCTTGCATTCTTGCATCATATTCAGGTTGTTTTGGACACATTGGAGCTGTGGAGAGTTCGTGGACATGCTAATGATCAAAGAGGAGCTCGTGGACACTTAGGAGAACTCAGCCATTCAACAAGGGAATCAAGATCGAGAGGCAGATCGATCTAGGCAGGTCGATCTAGATGAGATCGACCAGAAGATCGACTAAGCCCGGATCATTTCAAGGAGGAGATCGAGCTCAAGATCGACTAAGTTTTTGTTTTTACTTTGGTTACTAATTTCTATAGCTTACTACTTGTCTTCTCAGGTACATGAATCTGAGGTCTAGAGGTGACATCAATCTACTAAAATTTATAGACAACATTCATCAACTCGG